GCCGTGACACAAAAGGCATACAACGTCGTATATACAAGTGATTAAAGATTAGCAGGACGTCACGTTAATGGATTAAAAATATTTCATCGGGCAAGTTTGGTTCAGGCAAGATCACGTGTTACATTTTTACATCTAACACAAGATTATTTCATGTATGGCAGCCTTTACAGTGCTTATCGAGATGGTGCGCGCTCGGCAAGATCGAATTTGCTATACGTGCGACCGCGAACGCAGTGTTTCCTCATAGTAGCATTTCCGTCGACGTCCCGTTCATTGTACAGTTATCGTATTGCCGGAGTATTATTTAAACAGCACCGAGGTAGTCGCTGTAGTCAGTGCAGTCGTAAAGTCGTCGTTCGCTCCGCTCATCGCGGCTCGTGGTCGGTCCGTTCAGTCGTGGTCAGTCGGACGGTACGAACGGAACGGAAGGGAAGGGAGCGTCCGGCTCGTGGTGTATATTAATTTGTGCCGTTCTCGATGCTTCTCGATGCTTTCGCAGAAATCTGATGAGTAAGTGTCACGCCGGCCTGACGTGAGACATCACGCCACCGTCGTTCGTTCGATCGCTCGTGGCGAGTTCTCGCGAGTTTCTCGGCTCGACGTGACGCACGACGTCACGCTCGACGTCAACGGGGTGACGGCGACGCGACTGACGGTCAGTCAACGGAGCATCGTAAAGTAGTTGGTGCATTAACAATGAGCGCATTCAGCGTACTCAACAGTTGAATGAGCGTTCGCTGTTATTGGTATATTCTTTTGGATCATCCAATGAAAAATGTCGATCTACAAGAATATATCGATAGCAGCGAGCGCTCACTCAACTGTTGAGTCCGCTGAACGTAGCCGATCTTCTTTTGAAGATGCTCGTCGCAACGAGCGTCTTGAGAATCTTGTATCTTCGATATGTCGTAAGATGCTGCTGACAACAGCTCGGTGAACGTTGAGAGTAGTCGACGCGATTTGCAAAATGAGGGCAGTGTCATGATAGAAGATTGATCGCTTTGGATAATCAATTATTTATCGTACGGGTTTACGTAACGATATCGCGCGCGTCTATGCTTATCGTTTGAATATAGCTATAGTATAATGAAATGTTTAGAAGAGCGCTTTTATATTCGCGCGTGTAACGCGTCGAAACATAACTTCAAACGTTTAGCACGGTCAATTTACTTGTTGCTTTGATATTCGAAATATTCAACAGAAAGTGTTTATTTATATGTTGTCCGGTGAGATATTGTTTACAACAGATTTATTACTTTCGAAATTTCGTTTCAAGAAGATAAAGTTGTTACGTAGGATTGCAAATTAAATAAGAAAAAGTATTATCTTATTTTCGGTCATTTGTGGCGCTTGATATATGCGAATTTGCACAAATATATTTTTCAACAAAATATATATAATAACAAATGACTAATGATAAATAAAAACCAGTTAAATTTATATTTAATTCAATCCCAATAAGTATATATAGTGTAAAAGCAGATTATAATAAAACGATGTAAAAAATGGATAAAAATGTGCATATATCATGAACTTGTGTGACGTTACTTATGTAAATATATTCCTGCGTTTCGTGCCATGTGTATTTCACATTGTGTGCGCAAATGAAAAAGATGATCTTTGACTTCTGGCTTGAAAATAATTCTTTGCATTTAAACGGTTTAAAGTTTTAAATGCTCTCCACATTTGGATTATGAAAAGAAAATCATTGATTATTAAAAAATATGAATTGTATTTGCATGATGTTTTCAACATAATATCATAAAAATAAACACATGCGATATTTTACGTTTGAAATTGTATTTACAAAATTGTTTTTAAATGTATGTATCTTTTCGCTTTTTCAGCGAATACATTATTTATCATAACAGAGGGATCTGCAGTAAACTATTCTATTCTGAGCAATGAGTCCGCAAAGTCATAAGAACAATCTAACTCCAAAGGACATGCAGTCTAACGGATATTCTGCTGCCAATACCATGGCCAAAGAAGCAAGGAATCATTCATCTCCTTGTGAGTCAGTGGATTGTATGTGTGCTTAGATTGCCAATTTTTTACTTTTTATTAGATACTATGTTATTTGCTGCATTGTTTGCAAATGTGTTTTATATCTTGTGCGTCATGATTATAATTTTTTCAAATTTTTACATATGAAAATGCAATGATTGACTATATGTATTAGACCAGTCTAATTAGAGCTCCGGAGCTAAAATACAAAGCCATCGACGCAAAAAAATTCAATGAGTAAGATTTCATGGACTGTAAAGTATTGATGAGCGTCGCTCAGACTCGTATCAATATCATATTGATTTTCTTGCGTCGATGGCTTTGCTTTTTGACTCCGGAGCTCAAATCAAACACGCTCGGACTATATAATATAAATAACTAAGCAATGATCTAAAAATTAATTCAAACTAACGAGTGTAGTGTCCACGTGATACGCTATTTACTGTATACATCCGTAATATTTTTTATGTTTTATATTATATAACTATTTGCAAATATAATTATATCGATAATTTAATCTTTACTCAAATTTATTTTTATGAAAGGCTGACTATTAATTGTTATCAGTATATTAGTTCATTTTATTATCAACTTTTATTATCATTTTTTAGCTTTTTTAAGAACAGAAGTCGAAACTAATGAAACTGTGAATATTATATCTGAAAAAGACTAGACATATAAACTGGAAATGCTAATACTATGTCTATCGTCTGTATCTAGATTGTAATCTAATATTATGAATACTGTACTTGAATGATTATATGCATTGGGAATACTGTGTCTATATACTATCTTATATTTAACACTGCGAAGAGTTATATACGATAATTATTTTATCACATGAATATCTACACTTACCGGCTTTGTACTGGCTTAAACATCACTGCTTAGTTTTCTCTAAAAAATATCAAATGTTGAATTTTGTTAAGCTAAATAATATTCGTAACAAAGTAGATGATGCTTGCGACAAAAATGTTACCTTTAATTCGCTTGATTGTCATTTAAAAGAATATTTGTAATTAGATAATTCTTTCTTACTGTATATATATTTTATCACAATTTTCTGCATGACATGTCATTATTAATAATCACATTTCTGAAAATTTAATCTCACCATTTTTGCAAAATTATTTTTTTTTAAATTACTTTTTTGTTAATTTCTAGTAATTATTGATTTTTTTTATAAATATATATTTTTAACATATTTTTGCACAAATTATGAGATAAAATACTAATCGTAAAATATTAATCGTACCATATTGTACCGTATTGTTGCAGCAATGCCTTGGTTTGGAATGGACATAGGTGGTACATTATGCAAATTAGTGTACTTTGAGCCAAAGGATATAACGAGAGATGAAGCAGATGCAGAAGTTGAGATATTGAAAAATATTCGTCGATATCTCACTAAAAATTCGGCATATGGAAAAACTGGCCATCGTGATACGCATTTACAAGTAAATATTTATTAAATATTTAACTTGTACTTTTTTACAATTTATTAATTATATAAACCTGTTAATAATTAATTTGACGATTGTTTCAGATGGATAACATCTGTATTAGAGGCAGACGAGGAACCTTACATTTTATTAGATTTCCCACAAGTGAAATGGGAAATTTTTTAGCATTAGCAAAATCAAAAGGTATGGCAAATCTTGTGACTACTGTTTGTGCCACTGGGGGTGGTGCTTTTAAATTCGAAGATAATTTTAAAAAGGTTTGAAAAATTATCTATCTTTGTCTTTGTCTTGTTATAATTACATTTGATTTGCTTACACTTTTTACACTCAAAATCTTCGCTTTCTCTCTTTTCAGCGCCAAATATATATCTATCTCATTTTAAGTGTAAAAAGTATAAAAAAGTGTAAGCAAATTGAACAGACCAAATTGCAATGATAATTATTAAAATAATGAAATATCTTTGGCAGGAAGTAAATATGAATTTGGCAAAATTTGATGAATTAGATAGTTTAATACGCGGGATGCTCTACATAGAGACCACGAATCCACATGAATGCTATTATTGGTCGAATCCTACCGATGACAGCAAATGCCAAAAAGTACCCTATGATTTTTCTGAACCATATCCTTTCTTGGTAAGAGTATATAAAAATATTTTTTTATTGTGCGTTTTTAATTGGTGGAATTACTGATTGATTATTTTCTGCAGCTCGTTAATATAGGCTCCGGAGTAAGCATATTAGCTGTATATGGACAAGAAAATTTTAAAAGAATATCTGGAACAAGGTAAATTGCGTGTATGTTGTATATTTTGTAGTTTAAGATATTTATTATCAAGTAATATCAGTACATTTTTTTTTAATTACAGCTTAGGTGGTGGTACATTCTTGGGATTATGCTGTCTTCTTACTGGATGTAACACTTTTGAAGAAGCAATAGAACTAGCAACAGGCGGCGATAATACAAGAGTGGATAAATTGGTTAAAGATATATACGGCGGTGATTATGGTCCTTTCGGTCTTCCTGGAGATTTAGTTGCGAGCAGGTATGTACAATTGTAAAGCAGTTATTAATTTAATTAATCCTATTTTAAGATGTAATTTCTTTATTTTAATATTCTTATTTTGTATCCCTTTTTTTATTATTTTTAGTTTTGGACAAATGAATTCCAAAGATCGTAGAAATACTGTCACAAAGGAAGATCTGGCGCGTGCAACTCTTGTTACTATCACAAATAATATTGGTTCTATCGCGCGTATGTGTGCTGTTAATGAAAAAATTGAAAGGGTAATAAAAATATATAATTTGTTATATATAATATTATAAAGTAGTCATGTATAACAATTTTTGTTTTTAGGTTGTATTTGTAGGAAATTTTCTCAGAGTAAATCCCATATCAATGAAATTGTTGGCCTATGCTATGGATTATTGGTCTAAAGGAACTTTGAAAGCCCTGTTTTTGGAACATGAAGTAAAAATCTAATTAAAAGTTCATATTTAAAAATACCATTCAGCTATCATAAGATATTATATGTTGATTTCAGGGTTATTTCGGAGCGGTGGGATGTCTATTACAATTTAATGGCGAATCGAGCTAAACAATGGAGAAATAGTTATATAACATATAGCATTCCATATGACCAACTTCGCAGAACATTTCTCGAGTGAGCAAGATTATTCGACATAATTATATTTATTTTTGTTACATTTTTTTTTCAATTAATCATGAATCTACAATTTATTGTGTAATCATTTATATTAATATAGAAAGCCTTAATATTTATGCAGTAAGATTAAGGGAATATTTGTCAAGTGTCGTTGTATAATTTATCACTATTTTAATGTAGGAAAAAATAATTGTCAAAATATTTCTAATTTTGGTCGGAGGGTTATTTTGCTATAATTGTTTAATTATGAGCACAAATCTAACACAACTCGGCAAATAGAATCTATAATGGACCAAATCCAAAAGGATAAAGGATAGTCTCTCCTTCCGATGTTTTATTACATGCCGCATAGACTAGTTCTACCTCATAATTTATATTGTAAAGTTTTTCTACAAATGTGCACACAGATTTTTATGTATATAGGTAATATGGCAATCATTATTACACTTACATATCTTTTCTCTTTGTAAGTTTATAATCGAATAAAACTATTATGTAGCGGTAAATACTTTCGCACTGATTGTTAATATTAGTAATTTTGTTGTTAATGCATTGTATGTTACAAGGTGAACCTTTTAAAATGAATTTTTAATTGAATATTAATACAACTTTTTTATGAAATATTATTCATGCGCTTCTTATAGTTGTATAAATCAAGAATTTTTTATATCGCTCTTGTGAAATCACGATTTGTAATAAAAAAATATACGCTTCCGTCAGGATAGTGATATGATGCAATACATACTAGAAGTTGTTGAAGTCCGCAGCTAACGCTAAATATTCACAGAAAGTTCGATTCGTATTACTAATGTACCGAATGTACCGGAACAGTAAAAGAATCGTCATAGAATGTGCAAATGTCGATGAAATGTTCAGAATATCGTGTGAATACTTTTTATATATTTTATGAAAATCGCGAGCGAGCGAGCAGTGTACATCTTCGCCGACAGAGGACCGGCGAAGAGCATTTACTCGTAAACAAAAATCACAAGAAGCAGCGCAACACTTCGTCTGTGAAAAGAGCAACCCCAAAATTGGGCTCCGAGGTGAAAACACATTAAATGTGTTTTCTAAAGTAAAATTTTATTTAAAAATTGATTCATGGATGACCTGACCTGGAATTTTTGAAAAAATGAAAATTTTGTGGAATATACATGTATGAAAATTCTCCGATTATGTAATGACATTATGGAATGCAATGCAAATAAAATTTTTAATCGACATTTGAATGTTTCTTACCATAAATACTATTCGGAATATTTTGGAAAATATTTCGGATTCTTGGAATGTTTTTTGGGGATTTTAGGAACATTTCATGAATATTTAGCGTTTGCCGGGAGATGTGTCAAATATAAAATTTTGTTTTTGACAAATACAAGGTGTAATATGAATGAATGAAAAATATAATTGAAATATTGATACAATAAGTGATAATCATATTGATATTATTATTAAAAAATGCGTATATACACACACATTTTAGAAAACAATAACCGTGATATATTTATTTTCTATTTGAAATATGACAATTAATAAATCTTTGGAGATATGTTACTTATAATTTATTGAGTAATTTCATATTACCACAAGCGTATCCTTACACAAGCGAATAGCTTATTTTTGTTGCAATGTATTGTGGAAGCATGCCAAACAAACCTGAATAAAATATCATTTTAATATACAATGAAAAATGCGTATGTGTACTCATACTATTTCGTATTACTTACGGTAAAAATAAAATTTTGTTATAAATTAAGTAGTAACTGACAAAATAGAAACGGCAAAAATATATTCTGAATTTATTAGTTTCAATAATATATGTCTCATGTCGTATTATAATGTATATTTTGCAAATATTTCATATTTGAAAGGCATGAAATCCAAAGTCGCATGAAAAATCTGCATATACATATAAATACTTAGGAAGGAACAAGGATACATGGTGGAAGTTATTTCCACCATGCAAGAATACGAGACACGGTTACTTAGCAACATTCTTACAAAACAGTGCCACTCTAAATGTCAAGCAAACTGATTTCTACAGACATAAGTCAGCTGATGTGAGACTATAGATTTTGTAGTGATATCATTACCATTATTATTCATTACTTTTTTTATACATTTTTTATATCTTTAAGTAGATCAGTGTATTATATAAAACTTTTTACATCTTTTTTGATACCAATAAAAATGGTAAGTTAATTAATCTTAATTATTAACCTATTATAAGTTTTTTTACAATATATTATCATTATTTATATCAATATTAATATTATCAATGTTTTATCAATATTTTATTAATACATATTTTTTTTACAAGCATTTTTATATAATTCCATGTACGATTTTTCTCTATCCATTCTGTTCTTTCATTTTATTTTATTTTTATCTCTAAATTATTTCTTAACTGTGTGTGTGTTAATTGTTTATAATTGATAAAAAGGGTCCCAAAAAAGTGAAAGGGAAAGCGATAGATACTGTCGATGGGGTAGATACAACAAAAATGAATAGGGAACAATTAGAGATATATGCACATAAGATATTAGAAGAGATGGAACGGGAACGGGAGGAAAGAAACTTTTTTCAATTAGAAAGGGACAAACTACGAACTTTTTGGGAAATTACGAGACAACAATTGGATGAAGCACGTGCTGTAGTCAGGTACTTTACCGATAATAAATAACCATTTGAATCACCGACGAATGTAAATGGGTTTAAAATTCTTCAGAAATAAAGAACGTGAAAAAGAGGAATTAGTAGAGAATCACGAAGCTGAACTCAAATTATACAAGCAAAAAGTGAAGCATCTGATGTATGAGCATCAGACTAATTTATCTGAAACCAAAGCAGAGCATCTAGTTGCTCTTAAACTGGCACAAGACGATCATTTTGTGCAAGAAAATGAGCTTATTAAAGATAAAACCAATCTTAAAAAAGTACAGAAAGAGCAGGAATTGGCGTACATGAACGAAATTCGCGCATTAAAATTGGTAAGACGCATAATCTCTCTCTCTCTCTCTCTCTCTCTCTCCCTCTCTCTCCCCCCCCCTTGTCCCACCCTTTCTATCTTTCTTTATATTTATTAAATTGTATTTGAGAAAAAAATCGCTCATTTTTATACATACGAAATGCAGCATAATTCAGAGGAAATGAACAATATAATAAAAAAATTTGAATCTGAAGCAATAGAATTGGAGCAAAAGTACGAACAAAAATTAACAAGCCAATATGAGTCCTTAATATTGAAACATCGTATGGAGTTAACTGAAATAGAGGAAAGAAAGAATGCGCAAATTGCGAATCTAATAAAGAATCACGAAAATGCATTTACCGAAATGAAAAATTATTATAATGATATTACTCTGAATAATTTATCGTTAATTAAGAGTATGAAGGTGAACCTTAGTTATTATAAATTTTACAACTATAGAGTATTTTTCACGGAAAATAAGAATCGACAATTTTTCAATTAACGCAACATATCTTTTAATAGGAACAAATGGAAATGATGAGAAGCAATGAGGAACGTATGAAGAAACAAGTACGGGAATTAACAACAGAAAATAAAAAATATTTGACTGACTTGAAAACTTTGCAGGAAACGATTACCGAACTTAATCGTCAACTTACGAATTACGAGAAAGACAAGCAATGCTTAGTTGTTGGTATTTAAAACACCATTATCATTATATAATAACGTTATGAAAAACTGAATTAATAATTATTACAGAACACAAAACGAAGATTATCCGCAGTGACGAAGGATTTAGAGAATTTAAAATTGGAAAATGAAGTTCTCGAGCTGCGTTTTGAAAAAGTAAGATATTTAAACAATACATATAACATTTTCGAAACATACATATATTATTTTTTATAAAATATATTTCTAATAAAATATTTTATTTAGTGCCAATCCGAAAGAGACGAGTTACATTCTAGATTTGTGTCGGCCATATTTGAGCTGCAACAAAAAACGGGTTTAAAGAATGTACTCTTAGAAAAAAAATTAGAAAAGTTATCGGATTTACTGGAGCAACGTGAAGCACAGATTAGCGAAGTGTTAGCTGCTGCTCAATTAGATCCTGCGGCGGTGGTTAATATGAATAAAAAATTAGAAGTATACATTAAACACAATCTTATCACAATTATGTGAATTAAATACGAATACGATAATAATGCAACATTTCTTTGTAGGATATGCTCAATAGAAAAAATACTGCAATACAAGACCTACAATATGAATTAGCGAAAGTATGTAAAGCACATGACGATTTGTTAGCAGTTTACGAGAGTAAATTGCAAGAATATGGAATTCCCAAGACTGAACTTGGGTTTCAGCCTCTAAGGATGAAGATAAATGGTGCAAAATTGGGTTTAGGTCCAGCTGGTCTCGTTACTGCAAATCAGTAATTTTAAAAATATTTTTAAAATATTTATGTATAATTGATTTGTGAAAATTTTATATGTCTTGTCTGAGAAAACTGCGTTGACAAGTATTTATCATTATTTTTTATAGATTTTAATGAAAGAGATAATAAGTTTTTAGTAAGCCGTACAATTTGATATGTGTTTAGTACTGTATTTAGGATATTTGATAATACGCGCACTTAGCGATGAACTTGGAAAAACCTGAAATGAATATTTTTGAACAAGATCGATATATGTACAGAATTTTTTGACACAGAGTATTTTTATTCTGTAAAACAAATACACTTTAGCTTATGCGTTATGTTTTCAAAAATTACATAAAATTATCACAGAGAATGTACAGAGTAGATCGTATTATGCCTGGAAGTTGTATAGCCTCAGTAATTACTCAACATATTTATGCTTTTGCCTCTAATCATATTTTTTGTCGCAGTTAATACTGGCAATGAAAAATCTGATATCGTATATATTCAACTCATATATTTTTATTTCTATTACTGCATATAATTGCATAATTCCATTTTATGCTCCAACATCTTGTTAAATATTCAACAACTGGCAGGCACAAATACATTGAAAACATTCATATATAGATATTAACATATAGATATTAGACACTGACTATAATCTAACTTGTAAAACACTGTAAGTCAAATACATCAGGTCACAGGTTAATATATAAATTTCACTGGCTTTATGTAAAATATTTCTCCATCCGTTTCTCACGCAATAATAGTAATAGTCTGTAAACTTTTCCATTTTATAATACTTTACGGTTAAGTGAAGAAATAATTTATCATTTGCTCACAGATTTGTAAATATTATACAACACTTTGTATAGATATAATTTTATAATACATATATAGATGTGTGTGTGTATATATATATATATATTATACATATATATTTATATATATGCTTATGTGTATATTAAGAATTTTGGCACAATAAGAAATAGAATCACAGTTGAAATCATTGTACATTATAAGATTTACAGATGGTTTTGTCAATATGTCGGTTTCGTGTCTGTGAAGTGTATGTTACACGCTCTTACTACGATATGAAATGCACATTGAAATGTGTAATTAATCAAACTTGAAACCCCACAACTAGGCTCTACATTATAGAAAATTACATAAATTATGAAATTATGAAATAATATATAAAAAATTCAGATTTCAGAAAAGATTACATGAAATGCTAAGAGATTAATCGGGTATAATTCTGAGCACTGCAAAATTTAGAATTTATCTGTACGCGTGTTTTTTTTTCTTTGAATTAGGCTCGTTTGGTTGCCACCTTATCTGGAAAGAACATCCGATCTATGCTTTTTTTCCTTTTTATTAAATTTTTACGGCCGTGTCGAGTATGTATCAGAGTCGTAGAAAAAATAAGCCTCTGTTTTAATTTTAGATATTAGTGGTCCATTGTTCCATTGTAAACCTTTTCCTCGAGTTCCTTGAAAAATTCGCTCGCTACATTTATAAGTGCATCGATTTCTAACTTGTTGTGCGCACATTAAATTTAAATGAAAGCGTAATATATGCTTAATATAGTTAAGCAGTATGACGCATTTATATATATAAAATTTGATGTGATGTAGCAACACACTTTCATTTAATTTTACTACTAGCGAGATACTTACGCATTTGTATGGTAAATAAAGGGAAAATATATGAGCATATATATTATCTAGATAGGAGAAAGGCAAGGTACACTTTCAAGTAGTTCAAAATTACCATATTTGCATAGGTAGCAGATATAAATATACAATGATTATCTGTGTAGCTTGTACACACTTGGTCTGCGGTCTGATAAGAATTGTGTTAATTAATTTAAATACTGAATTGCAAATTTTGTACTTTACTGGTATTGAAAAGAAATCGTAAGTTTACGGAAACTTGTAAATTAATTAAAAGTTTCCAAGAATAATTTGTCGCCTTTCGAAAAGATTATGTATTACAAAAAATGTGCGCATACGATGTAACATAAACGTGTTCTGTTTGCTTTACGGATTATTTGATGTTTTTCGTTCAACTCATTATCCTCCAATTTGGTAGAACGTCAGCAATCAACGTAGAAAAGTATGTTGTTACATTGTAAACTACGGTTTCGCCGGCGGCCAAAATAGCTCCAAAGGAGCCATAAGTACCGTAATCTATTATGCTATGATTGCACGCGGACAAGACCGCCAGATCTTTCCCCGGGCCTTTGCCATCATTTTCTGATACAAAGCTGATTCGGTGACGTTTGCTGCGCAAGTTATACTTGCACCAAGCGATATTATCACTCGTTATTACGAAGATCACGTTGTTGTACTTGCCAGCGAAGTAATCCATCGCCGACAAGTAGTAACTTACCGGCGCCGGCCGCGTTTTCAACTTCTGCCAGAGGTAATCCACGTAGTCGGTCCTGCGTACGTGTACGCTGACGTAGGTTGGGGAGGACAAGCTGAATTTTTCTGCCACGCGTTTCAACACTTTCTCTGCGTAGATCCTTAGACTCGGTTTGAATGTAAATTCTCGTCGTACGTCATCTAGCCAGACCAGTATCAAAGACCAATAAGCCGCATGCCTGAAAAATTAATTTTTATTTAAATATATTTTCTACAAGATTAAGAGAAACTTATTATTTATTTTGCATAATTTTATTTACGTATTTATTTCACAGTAGTTTGTGCTGTGAAATCTCTAAAAATACTGACCTAGGTATTATGATGTTTTGCTCTGTACTGTTCCACTGACTAAGCGAATTAACTACCTGGCCAATGTCTAGAGTACATCTACCGATGTAGCTGATTGGCGGGATACTGAGGTTTTCAAAGTGCTCTTCTAGAGTTTTGAGAATGCAACGCGGCATAAATGGCTCTAGGCCGGTTCTCCGAGCGGTTGCCCACACAGAAGCGTACTCCCAGATCTGGTTACCCAGTCTACCACCTTGCATCGCCGAGACTATGCCATATTTGGGACAAGGATTGTTGCGCAATTCTGACGCCGGTATACGGACGTTGTTCTTCAGGTTCGTGCGACAGAGTGCTTGCTCGTACGCGGAGATCTTCATGTGACGCGCCGGCGGGGTCGACGTGTACATGGGAAACAGGAAGACGTGGATGCAGAATACCACTAACACTGCGAGGACTATCGCGCTCGCAAGCACATGCTGTTGAGCGTGACTCATTCTCTCTGCTAATTTTGCGCCACGCAAATTTTCAACGACGGGATGCTGTTTTTTTTTCTCTCTATCGTTCACTTTTTCTCTCTCACTCTACGTAATTTACTCTCTACCCTCTCGTCACTACTTTGCTCTGCTTCTCGCTTGCTCTGCCTCTACTGGTCGGCCGCTCGCTTCTCGTGCTAGTCCGGCATTTCGTATCTACAGGTGTGCCATGTCCTTTGCTTTCCGACGTACATCTTAGCAACAATAAATGAGCGATTAATGAGCGATAAATGTGTATAAATACAATATTTTAGGATTACGTGATAACTTTAAGAATATTCGAGCACATATCGTTTAAAATAACGTATCATGTTGAACATTTACGCGTTATTTTCAGATAATAATGTCGAGACACAATTATGTAATGTAGAACAGTAATTAAGAACAGAAAATTATAGAAATCTGCTTTTAATATGATACGATAACGATATGAATTCATTTCAATCTTTTTATATTGTTAAGAAATATTTTACAATGGAAAGCATTAAATTATATATTCAGAAATTTTAATTACACGGAATTATAAAAATCGCGTTAGGTCTGAAGCTAACACTCTTCCATTTATAATTGCACTTCATATATTTCGTTCTAAAATATCCTACCCTTTGTACTTAATCAATATGCGCATAATCGCTATCCATAGAAATGTGTCAAGTAGTTTAAACATAATTTAATTCGTTCCTCAGACAAATTAAATTGTTTCTTCTTCAGATAATTCTCCAGAAAAAGGACATGGCTGACACACAATTACTATGCAAAGCTCGAGTAAAATTTCATGCAAGCAGCAGTTTTGGCAAATATATATATATATATATATATATATATATGTCGGTTTCGTAATTGTAAAAAAAAAATTAAGTAAATCGTATTGAGACGGCTAATGATTTATTGAACGCGATTTTCGATGTAAACCATGCAATAACTTGTCTTTCGCAACTAATATAGCAACTAAATAATATTAATAAGAGCACAATTAATACGGAATGATAAGGATAAAAAGAGTATGCAGGACATGAAATCCCTTATGGCATTCTTAAGTTTTGAAAAATGACCGTATGAACGTATATACCGTCATATTTGATGACATAAATTTTCTATCTCGGAAATTCTAAAATATAAAGAAACTCTACTTGATACATTAATCTTTCGTAGTCCAACCGAAGCTTTGGAGACTCAGGCCCGGCCGTTCCACCTTTTGGTAAATTTTACCTGTTAGGTAAATCTGGCAATTCATGCATGTGATTGGGTATTCTTGCTACTTACCTAACAGGTAAAATTTACAAAAAGGTGGAACAACCGGCCCTCAATCGAATTTTTAATTTTAAATTATTTTTGGCTCTAATTTTGACCTGTCTTATTTAAGTTATTAAATTATTTTGTCTCAAATTTAGATATGCACAAAAAAAGTAAAAAGTTTCCGGGTCATCAAAATTTTTTCAGATTTTATTACAATCCAAAGACGCTTTGAAAAACACGATCAGGCATCAGTTGGACTAAGAAAGCAGTGAAAAAAATGTTGACCCACGGAAGGTTAAACAATATTACGAAACTATGGGAGATAAATGATCCTGATGGCTTTGGAACTGCTGGAGCGATTGAAAGAAAAATTTCATGTATATATGAGAAATCCAATTGCACACGTCGAAAATTATGATATCTTTCATATCTCTTTTGCATCGTGCTATCGATCTTTCGCAATTTTTGAATATATAAAATTGCGCACCGCAGTTAATCTTGTTACATCCTCATGGCAAACATTAATCCTCTCCTGGAAAATCTGTAAATTTGTAAAGTCTCGTACATATGCATACTCATTCAAAGTTCTTACGTCGCAGGGATAAAAATTGCGTGCATGACACACATTCTCTTCTGCTATCACCAAAGCGACGTATGCAGCTCGTCGAGATCAATCAAGTGGAGAGCCGGAGACCTTCAAGAAACGCAATAAATGGATCTTATGTTCAATGTTACAGGTTTCTCAATTTCCTGTGCAGCGATAGAAATCGAGGAGTGTGTACATCAACATGTCTTCTATTTCTCTTTTTCTCATGTTTAGGATATAATACGAGAATTACAATACTTAGGGTATTTTCCAGGAAGAGACACAGATGACGCAATCTAACACAGTGACATTATTGTTTGTCAATGTTAAATAGAAATGAAATGATCACTGTGTCTCTTGCTGGAAAGCAATTATTATGCCTTATTAGCGATAAAGCGAGGACAAGATGGTGATGATAAACTTTCAATGTCTTCGCAACCAGCTTCTGCGCAACCTGCCCTTTTAAAAAGGCCCTCCCGGCGCGAATTTAACTCCAGGAAATTTGACCTCCGTGATATCGAATCAACCTCGTGAACGGAATTCTCTACTCACCTGTTCCGGCGAACTCAGCGCGATTCGCGACGCACAGGTCGAGCCTCGCAACCAGCCGCGGGTTCGGCTCGCTCATGTTTGCCCGGCACGAACGCTTGTTGCACCCCAGCCGTCGTAGATCAGTCGTCACCGTCACCGTCACCGTCACCTTCGCTGTCGCCGTCCCCTTCGCTGTCGCCGTCCTCGCTCCGCGGCAACTTTCAGGGCGGCTACGCTCAATTCACGTCAATCGCCTCGCGCGCTCCTCCTCGCTTCCTTTACGACGTAGCGACACTCGGAATAGTTTCATGCACCGTCTGGCGCTGTCCAGCTCGAACGAGGGGGCGAGCTGCCGTCAGTGCCATCCTCTCGTCGGGGATGTTTTCTCCCGAGGGGTGGTGAGCGTGACGTCATCCACCCCACACAGCCGCCACAACCGGCGCCGTAATACGTATAGATTTTTAATTTTCTATTGGCGCCTTTCCGAGACCGCCATCTGCCGTCGCCGCCCGTCAATAATTTGCGCCTCCCGCGCTCCCGCGAAGTATCGCGAAAACGTCATGGAGTAGAAAGCACATAATGGCACATAAATAGAAGAAAGTCACTGATCGACATACCAGTTTGTTTTTAGATAATATTTCTTTAATAAAAATAAAAATAAAATTTAAAAAATATAAGTACAAATTAAAAAGTGTCTTCTGTCAGATAGTATAAGCAATTTTTATAATACTGCTCTAATCTCGCCGATGTCGCGCGCCGTGATCAGCGTAATATTCGGCTTGTGTTCGACTTGGTTTGCGAGTGTTCACATCGATCATTCATTTTATTTCTAATCAAAGAAAAACAAAAGAACATAGTTTAATTATTTTACGTTACAACTTTTTTAAACTTAGTTGAATTAAAACGAAAAATTTCCTACTTATAATTTTGAATAATTGAAATAGCATATTTATGGTCCATTTTAAAAGAAAAACTTGTTTTATTCAATTGGATTAAAAAACTGCATTTCCTCGAATTCAGAATTTTTGAATTGAGCAACACTCATAATGCACACAAAATACTATAATATTGTTTTTAGATTGAAAGGCATAGAGATGTGCTCTATGCAATTTCTGTAAAAGAATAAAAATGCATTCAGGATTGAAAACGATTTATTTTAACATTCATGAATCCCTATTTCTGAAAATCTGAATCCATTTTAATCCATTTCAATTCATTCTCGTTTACTGGGGCCGAGGGTGTGGACGAGGTCGACTGCCATTTGTCGCTAACACAAACGATCACGATCGACCTGGCCAGCACTAGGTCGCCTTTTACATCGACGAACACAATACAAAAACATGTTTCGATAGCTACGGCTTGCCATCCATGGACTCAAGAGACCTCTTACGACTTCATCGAAACTCTACCACGTATCACTGGAATACGATGACGCTGCAAGGAATGCTTTCTCAAACTTTCAGGCTAAAATATAAAAATACTGCTGTGTATTTCTATATTTTATGTGTAATGGTTATAATCTTAGCCAGTTTCTTAGTCTGTTTACCTCTGATTGTAAACGCAATGACCGATTGATCGTACAGTTATTTCATAAATTTTTTCTTCATTGTAAACATAAAAAAAATTCTCATTCTGTATGCCGTCATGTTCAATCATCAACTCTTTTCAAAAGTAAAATATAAAACAAATATTTTACGTAACTTTTTTACGTCACTTTTTTCTTTTTAAAATAAATATTTTTGATTATGTAAATTTCGTCTGTTTCTTACTCCTAACCTCGTCCTCTTTTACACTGGTTACCTTTTCTCATGTATTTCAGATTTAGATAATGTTCCTTAAAAACAAAATATAGAAAAAATTTTTCTTTTAAAATAATGTTCGAAACAACACATCGATTACAATGGCGCGTGTCAGCGCGAATTTGTTCTTTCCTATTACCTCCCTTTTACCTCCCCTTTTTCTTGAGTGAAAGCAAGAGCCTCCCGAAAATTTTCGTAAAAGTCTTCATCATAAATAATAATAAAAAAAACACTTTCACTAAAACGTCAGTATGCCGGAGACATTGAGCTGCTGCAACAAAAAAACGACCTACAGAACAAAAAACTGTGTGCTATTTATGTCCGCTGCCCGTACCTTCTCCCCTCCCCCCGTGGCGAAAAAATGTCTCGGTCCCAATTTTCCTCAATTTTCCTAACCATCATTTTGTCACAGTATTCTTTCCTGCCGACATCCCACTCTTCTCCAGTCATGTCTATGGACAGAGCCAATCAGTGCGTGGACAGCAACGGACCGAGTCAATCAAAACGCACCATTTAATTACCCATTACCTCCACCCTCGCGTCACCGACCAATTAGAGCGCGCCATTTTTCCAGACAGTTACTCGTACACCTCCGGCGCCGGAATGATGGGGGTTTGTTTTGACGATCAAAATGACTGCCCATATACTACTTACGTATTATTGCTATAATTATATTATTGTATGTACTATATTAATACGTTAATAATAAAAATAATAAAAAATTTAGTATTTGATTTTTTTGAGAAAATAAAAATTGTTTTACAAGAAAAAAATATTCTTTAATAACGTAAGAATCTATGACCTTCGCATGTTTAAACTGTAGAGACGCTCCTGAGTTAGAGCGTCACGTGAGCGCTCGGCGGCCCGGCTGATTATATAATATAATTATATAATTATATACTGTATATAATTTGCAATTAAATATAATAATTATATAAAATTATATATAATATAAAATATATATGGATTTGTTTTTTCTGCATCTTTTTATTTATACAATATCATAAATTGTATTCCAAATTATATATATTCAGTAAGAATAAAAGAACTATTTTTAATAATAGTTGCAAATACATTGCGGTGCAACATTGCTATGACATTACAGCGCAATCTTGCTGAAGACGAACATTCTTATGATGCTATGGCATTGTAACAATATTGCTAATAAATGTATTGTGCAATCTATTTGCAATATTACAACATTGCAATGAAATATATGCAATCCTTTTGCAATCTTTCTGTGTTAATCGATAATAAAGGCGATACATCGATTATATAAATCAGTTCATTTACAAGCAAAAACTATTTTATTTCGCTATTTTTACCTTATCATTAACAATTTGACTTATCAGTAATATATGTATCAGTAATGATAAAATATGTAAATACACAAGTGAAACTGCGCAATAAAAGTAAAAAAATGTTGATATGCTACCTGATATAATAAGCTATTTAGTTTCAAAGCAATATATATATTTGCACATGTTTTTTCGTCAAATAAATACATTAACTAATTGTTTTCTTAAACAAATAAAATAAGTAATTTCATGGATAAATTTCAAGTGTAAAGAACATATTACGGTACCGTGACATATTTTTCAATATTTAAACTTTGTTCTTTTTCTTAAGTAAGTAACAAATTTGATATTATGTACTATTCATACACATATTATCAACTTATTTATTGCCATTAAGTTTAAGGTGACTCTACACGGTTAATAATACTATTGGTATTAAATACTGACAATATTGATCGTGTGGTAAATATTGATGGATTAATGTAGAATACTGACGGTGATGGATTTTAATTTTGAAGCATCAATATCGCTTTATTAGGATCCATATCATAGTATGTCACAATGCAATAAATAATGTATGTAAAACTAAAGTGGAATACCTAAATTATCAATAATACTAATCGTATAAGATTGCAAAAATACTAAAAATAATGATATATGCTGTTAGTATTACTGATTTAATATTACTAATTATAAATATTATTGAACGTGTAAGGTCTCTACTGTACAAACTGTGATAATAAAGCACTATAGTAGTGATAATAGATTTATTATTCCAATAAATGTAACATAATATCTCTTTTTTTCTTTTTCATCTGGACATTTTTCCTGCATGTAAACATTTTTCATGCATGAATATGTATAAATATGTATAAACATGCATAAATACGCATAAATAGTCATAAATATTATATGTATAATTATATATGAAATATGTTCATGTGCTCATACGTCTTTCTTTTTTAATATTACTTTTTTAGTGTAATAGAAATAATAGTAATGTGTGAAAACATAAAAAATAATTAAAGAGATAATTTTTGCATTGTTTTAGAAAAAAATAAGTTTGAAAAATATAAGAAAAATGTAAAAAAAAATTGCTCATACATAATTATATATAGTTTTATATATAATTATACATAAGTAATTTTTTTACATTTCTTTAAACTTGATTTTTTCTAAAACTAATAGTGCGAAAATTACCTTTTTAATTATATTTAATGTTTTTACATTATTATTATTATTTCTATTATTATTATTGTTTCTAACAAGTAATTTTGTAAAAGAAAGAAAGATGTATGAACATATTTCATATA